AGGCTGCCCGCCAACAGTGGCAGCGAGAGCAAACGTGAATGGTTGAATTGGCCCCACCACCGGTGACGACGCCAGCCGGTTGTGGAAAATCCAAACCCAGCTTTCAAAGCGGATGTGTCCATGCATCTGGCATGTTGATTCAGTGAATAGGAATGATAATAGCGATATGCTGATACCCATTATGCAGAACAATAAGCTGGTTTCAACAGCACACGTCAGTTTTTGCTCCACGGAATGTGTTTGGTATGAACTGACGCGTTAGCCTAATCATTCGAGGGGAACATGGTATTTTACGGAATGGTATTACGATAAGCTACTGGTTCTAGCTGAGCGACTAAAAATGTTGGATGAAAGCGCCTTGCTGGCATTATTTGCACTGCGTGTGCTCCTCCTTTGCAAGCAATATCCAAATGCACATAGAGCTTATAGGAAGTGGCATTTTCGTCAGATGGAGAGATATTCAGTTATGACCTTGGATGCAAGAAGCAAAACCTCGGTATCACGCAAAACAGGTTCTGTGAAAACACCATGTGAAAAGTGGAGATCAATTACCATGCGGTCGGATGGGAGTCAAATTGACCTCCAAAGGTTTTTCTTTAATAGTTTCCGAACGGCGCAGCGTAGCCGCGCTCAATGTTGCGTGGCTGTAGATAGCTGAATAGCGGATCGTCTGGCATCAAAAATTTATATGTACTTTGCAAGGTCGCTGACCCTTGGCAAGCCAAAGTCAGGCCATGGTTTCAGCAAAGACAATTTCTAGGGAATCGTTCAATTTAATCCAACAACGGAGTGTTAGATGAGACCATACATCACTGAAATACTTTCTTGGGCAGCACAACAATCGAGTGTACACGCTACCTTGATCTAGGGTCAGGTATGAAGGTCAGATCAAGGCCAAAACAAACCTGTTTTAGTACTCAAGGGCTTGCTGTATGGGGTAGTTTCTGGTGCCCATTTCGAATTTATGATAACAGAATCGCATTATACACCTTCCATGGGCTTTTAAAGGTTAGAAGAGATCACTGACCTAGAATGACCCAGGTCAACATTTTTTTAGGAACGTATTGTTAAGCATAACCTTTGTCGCTTACTCAAGTGCAAAGCTCAAAGCAGTCTTTTATGATTTTGGTTAACATAAGCTTCAAAAGGTCAAACATGATTGCTGACCTAAAACGAGCATGTGACTCTTTGCTTAGTACAGATGTCTAGGTTCTGGGGGTCTTTGCAGATTAGCCTCAGATTTGACCTTGTTTGACCTTATTTGACCCGTATTTGACCTAGAAACCTCAAACTTTAACCTAAATGAGTTCCGTACAGGTCAACACACCCTGTGAATTTGGTGTCTCTAGCTCTAGCTCTCTTAGTTCCTGAGATCTCAGGGGTTCAAATTGACCCCCTCTCGAGCGAAGAGTACCCAATCGGCCACCCGGGCGCGTGTTAAGTTTATGTTAGAATAACATCGCTTATCCTCACGGCTTGGGTAAAGCTGGTTCACTTATATCTTGGCAGGGCACGCTATGCGGTATCACCATAGGTATAGCAATAAGTCAAGAATGAGTCCTCATTTACGAAATAGCGTGTAGCGTGCGTAACATGCCGTGCCGTTGTTTGAGCCGGCAATCCCATGGGCCTGCAGCTGGTGGCAGTGCTGTGGCCTGAGTCGACTTCTGTTGCCTGCACATGTAGGCTCGTATTTTGTAGGCCCACGTACTGAGAGCTGCCGTGAGCCAGCAGTTTTTATCGCTCAAGTTTTGCAGTCTGTACGAACTCCACATTCACATCCACACGTTTTGTGGCACATGCCAGATCCGCTGCTGTTTATTAGCATGAAACAATACCTTTGTGAACAGAATAATCACATAATCATACCTGCATGCATTAAAATTGCTATATGTGTCGGTGACCTTTCTAAAGATAACAGAGATCAGTGACCTATGGCGACGATGTAGAAAACTTGTGGATCCTGGCTTGTTTTTGTGCTGGATCTGATTTAGAACATGAGCTTATGCCCGCTCGGATTATGCCGTTTGAGCCCCATACCGCTGTGTTGCATACTTCAAAATTTCAGTAGTATGGTTGACATAATCTGGAGGGCTGCCGGGTGACCTAAACGGTCCATGCAAGACATCGTTGGCCTCGGACGTCAGATTATAACTATCAGTCGTTTTTATTTCGCGTGTCTAGCTAAATTTCGATTGCGCGGCGAGGAGGCCAACCCCTTCCTCACTTCGTCAACGACGCGAGTCGAATGGCGCCAACGGGGAGTGTTAAGCTAATGAAGCGTTGGAAACGGCCTGTCTGGCGTCTGGGGCTCTTAGTGGAGTCGTTCCGCAGCACAAGAGCTGAAAACGTTGGAAAATCTGCAGTGTCTGCAAATGAATCGCATTGATCGGTTTCAGTAGAAACAATGAAACTCACAACACTTTTAAAGTTGTGCACTCTGGGCTTGTGGTAGGAAGCTATTCAGTTACACATATTCTTGCTATTTGTCAGTGGTCTAAAATCCATATCTGTTAGATTTAGCTGTTGCGGGCTAGTATGGGCTTACAATAACTTAAACTCCTATTCTTTAAACATTTGATCCGAACCTTTTGAATCGATGGCTTTCTGGCATCAGAGCTCACGTTAAGCAGTACTTGTGGTGTAAGCCCTGACTTCCACCATCCGATCGAGCAATTCCAGGTCAATGGTAATAGAATCACTGTCCCCCTCCTCTGACGTTTACGTGACCTTTGGCGCGGAGAGCTTGCCAACGGCCACAGCCATACATGTGAAACGAAAATAGCGTGCACCTATATATACTCGCACCCACCTGGCCACGAGTGGATAGATCGAAAGGGTTACGCTCTAACCAACAATTATCTTATTACACATATAAATGCTATCTCTTGATCGCCTGTTTGTAAATTTAGCCGAATGGACAAAAAATCAAGACACGAATGTTTTGCCATTTACATAGGGCTTATTCATTCATTACATATGCAAAATCATATATATATATATATATATATATATATATATATATCGTAGATTAAACCTTTGGAATTCGTGATCTTTAGTTAAACTGTATGCTGGACTGAACCTGGGAAAGATGAGCTACGTTCTGAGAAGGGCTCCCAGATGTATGATCCGTAACGAGCTCTGAGCGCTGGTGGTGGTGACCCGCCCCTTTTGGCCGCGGGCCAACCCTGACCTATGCCCTCTGTGTCGCCAGCCGAGGTCAGGATGCCGAGCGGTGGTGTGGACAAGCCGGTGATCGAGGACAACCGGGATGGCACCGTGACCATCAAGTACGAGCCGAAGGAAGAGGGCCTACATGAGCTGCTGCTGAAATTCAACGGGGAGCACGTGCAGGGTGAGGGGCCAGGGTTCAGGCTCGGTCAGGGGCAGAGGTCACGGTCTCGAATGGCTGTGGCCTGAAGCGCGGAGACAGCGATGCAGTGACAACGCGGGAACCAACGTAGGAGGGCACACGCTGGAAAATGAAACGGGATGGGATGGAAATAGGGTGCTCAGGACCGGGTAGCTAAAGCCTTCCAGCTGCATTGTCAGCGTCTGTTCTACTACATCTGCCACGACCGGGGCTCGTTCGAGTGTGATGGGTGACCCGTCAGGGCCGCCTGGACCGGGGTCGGCCGATCATCCAGCGGGCGGCGAGCCGATGCCACGAGCCGCTGCACCCGCTCCAGGCTTCCAGCCCGCTGCCAGCGGACGGTCGCGTATTTTTAGCGGCGGCACCTGCTGTACGGTCGGGAGGAAAACTCGGTCACGTCTACCGGCGGCAAACGAGCCGCTTTTTCTCATCCGGTCGCTGCTTTCTGGGACGGGAGGGGGGATAAGTGGCAGCGAGCCACGAACAGACGATGGAAGAGCAGGCGGGTATTTAAAACGTGGCAGATTATTTACGACAACCTTGTAGGCTTTTGAACAACAACCCTCGTGTCGTGCTCGTGAAGAGCCAGGACAACTCGCTTAACAATTTGCAAAGACAGTAATTTCCTCTTCACCAGGGCGAGTGCACGTGCCAGCTAGGAGTAAGTGGCCATTGTTGGCCAACACTGGATATTTCTGTACTACGTTGCGTTCAGTTCTGTCCTCGTGCAGCCAGCCTACGCCACGCCCGACGCGCTCCGTCTCCGGCAGGATCCCCGTTCAAGTTCCACGTGGATTCTCTGGCGAGCGGCTATGTGACGGCGTACGGTCCGGGCCTGGTGCATGGCATCACCGGCGAGCTGGCCACCTTCACCATCACCACCAAGGACGCCGGTGCAGGTAGTGAAAGACTACGCGGTAAATACCACACCCCACTCTAGGCATGCCGCCGTTGCCGCCGCCGCCGCTGCTGCCGCCGCCGCCATCGCCGCCGCCGCTGCTCCGACGCCCGGCCCATGCTGTCGCCCAGTCTGCGCTTCTGCCCTCCTGCGGCTGCCGTAGCGTCGTCTTTCGCCGAGCCGCAGCGCCACCTATTTTGCGGATCCGGCAGCCGCTGCACACGAGCGCTTGGTCGTTGGAGTGGGATGTGACGTGTCGTATTGTTGGTGCTCTTCATTGAGCACACTTCGGCATGCGGGTGCTTCCATACTTGGCGAGCGGTTTCATTGCTCTTGCGCTTGGTTATTCGGGACTGCTAGCAGACTTCTAACGTAGCCTTATTTATCCTAAAGTATACTGCATCTTGTTCATCAGCGTTGTCTGCTGAGAGCAAAAACCACGGTTTAAATCTTTCCAAAAGAGGGTGATGGTCCTTGCTTCGGTTGTGATAAAAGTTGCCCATAGCAGAGAAAACGGCGTATACGACTGCCCACATTCAGGTGTAAGGGTACAAAATACATAGCTTTATGGCCCAGCAGGCCTGTCACCCAGTTGCATTTACCAGATTCTCTTGTGTCTTCCTGACAACCAGCAGAACAGCAACAGGGGGGGGGGGGGAGGGTCAGAGTTCTGCCAGTGCGCCAGTTAATACGGGAAACGCATGTTGATAAATGATAGATAAACGTTTCACATATCGTACCTGGGTGCAACTGCACCTCTAGTGCCCTGCAATATTTCAATGAAAAAGTGGTGGACTCAAAAGTGTTTGTAAGCTGCTTGACGATTGGGCGATCCATCCAATCCGTCTTGCCCCATGGTTTGGTCAAAAGACGTCTGGAGAGGGGCTCGACAATCAAACAAAACTGCGTAGTTGTCTTCCAAGTAACGCTTATGCGCTGACGCTCATATAAGCCAAGACCTCGCATTTGATATGTTTGGATATTGTGTGCCACCGTGTTTGGATATTGTGTGCTCGCAATGTGCGTGTAGATAATGTCTGTGGACTGCGGGGTTGGATAAGTTACGTGTACTACACAATTTCACGAACTTCCCAGTAAGGTGTTTTCTGGTTTCTGTTATTGTCCATGTTTCGGACAGCTTTTTGGAGTTGGTCTGCTGGTATAATGTGTTGTTTGTGTTTGATAAGCATGGTATTTTATCATTATGAGGTACCGCTCAGAACTATGACCTTGGCATTTCGCCGCTACCGAAACATATTTGCGTGGAAATTTATTGTTTGTCACCAGCTGTCTTGTTCCAGACTGAACAGCACAAGTTGTCGTTGGATTGATTGTCATTTAAGGTCGCCATATGGTCATGTTATGCTTAGGAGTTTATGTATGTATTCAACTTTTTGTCCATATAACCACTAGAAATGGTTGCATTCGTTTTTTAAATAGAAATTTCGAGGGCTCTTTCCGCTCACGTGATTTGCATGAACCGGGCGGTCGCAGGCAACTGGCACTGTACTCCGCCGTATAGTGCTATATTTGCACGCATCGTTGCGTTGAGATGTTAACTTTGGCTGTGCGAGTAATTACCCAGCTTGCACAAATAGACACTTTAAACTATTAAACTGACCATACTTAACGATGCAAGTTTGAAGGATCTCCTCTCTCACGTGATTTGCACGAACCGGACGCTAGCAGACAGCTGACACTGCGCTCCGGCGCGCGGTGCTGTTCAGGAGGGCTGTCGCTGGCGGTGGAGGGCCCGAGCAAGGCCGACATCAGTTGCCATGACAACAAGGACGGCACGGTGTCTGTCTCGTACCTGCCCACCTCACCCGGCGTGTACAAGATCGCCGTCAAGTTCTCCGACAAGCACATCAAGGGCAGCCCGTTCGCGGTGAAGATCACTGGTGAGTCAGGCGCAACGGTGAAAGTCACTGGTGAGGAAGGCGTAGCGGTGAAGGTCACTGGTGAGGAAGGCGCAGCGGTGCCGCCAGCCGGTGGTGTTGCTGGCACGCATCCACAGGCGACAGTCGCAGGGCCGGTCAAGCTCGGAGTGACGCGCTCCTCGCAGTGTTGTGTGCTGGGCTGAAGTCACTGCGGAGAGGCCGTCGTGCAGTTCATCGTGACGACACTGTGACTGGCGCTTGAGTTTGGCTCTTCGCAAGGGGCGGCTGGTTTCCTCCTGTGGCGATGTCAGATCCTCAGCAAGTGTCTGTCGTCAAAACCAACCTTGTACCTATATATGTAGCCACTTGAAAAATATGGCGCAGCGGCATCATTCTTTCTAACGAAACGTGTCATGCCTGGACAGCTGGCCACTTCCGTTCGATGACAAACGCCCTGCCCCCCCCCCCCCCTGCCCCATGAACCTGGACTGCTCGATCTCACGACCGAGCTTCTCTGCCGCAGGCGAGGGACGCAAGCGGAGCCAGGTGTCGATGGGCGCCCAGTCGGAGGTCACGCTGCCCGGCAAGGTCAGCGAGAAGAACATCAAGGTGTTGAACGCCTCCATTACGGCACCGTCCGGCCTGGAGGAACCCTGCTTCCTCAAGAAGCTGACCAACGACCAGCTAGGTAAGCCAGCCGCCAATAAGCAGTCTGTGGCGACAGAGTACACTACTAAAAAAAGAGAACTTGCTGAGCAAGCGCATGCACACGCCCCTGTCTGGTGTAGCTGCCCGTGTGACACTGCTGATAATGTGTGGTGCCTGTAACCGCGGACTGCCAGTCACAATGATGCATTTCAACTGACAGAGCGTCCGGAAAGTCTCGTTATTCATGTTATGAAAGCCTCATATGCAGCCGACTTAACACATTTTTTTGTCAGCTTCGCTGGGTCTATTGAGGCCTGACATCAATTATTTTACACTTTCACCACCTGACATGAGAAGCCTGAACTGCTGGACGCCGTGAGATGCACGGTCCCCCCCCCCTCTCTCTCTCTCTCTCTCTCTTTCTCTTCTCTCTCCCTCACTCCCTCTCTCTCGCTGTCTCTCTTGCCGTCTCTCTCTCTCTCTCTGTTTGTTTTTCGCTCGCTGTGTATCCACCGCCGCCATCACCGTCAGGCACTTCTTTCTTCACACCGCCCCCGCCGCCGCCAGGCATCTCCTTCACGCCACGCGAGATCGGCCAACACCTGGTCAGCGTGAAGAAGAAGGATACCGCCATCAGCGGCTCACCCTTCAAGATCATGGTCAATCCTCAGGAGGTGGGCGACGCCTCCAAGGTGAAGGTGTCGGGCACGGCGCTCACTCAGGGCAAGACGCACGTGGCCAACAAGATCGCCATCGACACTAAGGAGGCCGGTCAGTGTCGTCGTCGGGCAATGGGCGGTGGACAGTCAGTGACGTCGTCGCTGGGCGGGCTCGGGCCGGGCCTCTGGGCTGGACGCCCCTCGCGGGGTTGGCATTGAGCTACCTACACACCGGTCACCGTCTGCGAGGCTGCGACTTTTTCATTCAAAAGGCATAGCGCTTCATACCGTCCGCATCTATCTCAGACCGTTCATATCGTCCGCAGCTATCCCGGACAGTTTCGTACTGTCAGCAGCTATCCCAGACCGTTGTCATACCCTCCGCAGCTATCCCGGACCGTTACGTACCGTCCGAAGCTATCCCGGACCGTTTCATATCGTCCGCAGCTATCCCGAAACCGTGACATACCGTCCGCAACTATCCCGGACCATTACATACCGTCCGCAGCTATCCCGGCCAGTTTCATACCGTCCGTAGCTATCCCGGACCAGATTTCAGCGGCATGCGCTGCAATCAGTTGTTGCTTGTTCATTTTGAACGAGATTGCATCTCGCGTGGACGCTTATACCAGCACGGTTCTCATCCAAGAACTAAGGCCTGGTGTCAATGACGGCTGCAGACCGCTGTCAGCGTTCCTTGATGTCCATCGATTCAAGCCTTTGACTGGTGGCCATTGTTCATTGACCAAGCGCCAACCCGCTGCTAGGCTATGGTGGCGTATCGCTGTCCGTCGAAGGACCGAGCAAGGCCGAGATCAAGTATGACGAGAAAGCGGACGGCAAGCTGGAGGTTTCTTACAACCCCAAGGAACCAGGCTTCTATATCATCAACCTGAAGTTCGCCGACCATCACGTCAAGGGCTCGCCGTTCACCTGTAAGGTAGGCATTCGGGTGCCGCTGAGGGGACCAATCACACACACAAATGGGGCAGCTGCGTTTTTTTTTTAAGGAAATCATTGCATATTTTAACGCAGGTCCTTGAAAGCCGATGATAGAGCACACCACACTTGTAAGTCTGCCCTTTGGTCTGAAGCAAAGTGAGCAGTGATCAGACGGCATTTCGGGCCTTTCGTGTGTTGATGTAGAACGTGCTAGCGCTACGTTTTACATCATTCACACATATGACTACTGGCACAACATGTGACCTCAACTACAAAGATCTCTTACGCACTGAGGTCATGGCAAATATCCTCATATCCGACCTAGAAATGCCGCTTGAATGGGCGGACGTTCAAACAGTGCACACAAATAAAGCACACCCGCAAAAGCCTGCCACCAGTCGTCCTGCGGCAGCACCGGGTGCTCGCATGCAGCCGGCAAGCGCTTCATAGGACAGGCGCTTCCATAACCAAGCCGGTGGCTGCTCCCAGGTGACGGGAGAGGGCTCGAACACGCAGACGGAGCGTATCAAGCGTAACCAGGAGGCGGTGCCGCTCACCTCCGTCGGCTCCAGCTGCGCGCTCACCTTCAAGATGCCGGGCGTGTCGGCGCTCGACCTGAGCGCCGCCGTCGCCTCCCCCGGCGGCGTGGTGGAGGATGCCGCCATCTCAGAGCTCGAGGACAACCTGCACGCCGTCAACTTCGTGCCCAAGCAGCTGGGCGTGCACACGGTGTCCGTGCGCTACCGGGACGTGCACATCCCCGGCTCACCGTTCCGTTCACTGTCGGCCCGCTCAAGGTTTAGGGGCGTGAGGCGGCGCGGCTCGAAGGCGAGGCGTCTCTCGCCCAGGCACAAGGCGTGCTTGGGTCTCCGCGTGGGCTCGTTACTGACGCCGGGCTGCGCTTCATGTTTGTTGCATGCCCTCCCCTCTCCGGTCTTTTTTTGCGGATTATCAACCGAAGAGTGCGTGGCGAATGTGGAAGCGGCCTAAACTGTACATTGTACACAGCAGCATGCTGAAGCGGAAAGCTGCATCTGCAGCTATCCCATCCGCTGATGATACCCAAGTTTTTACATCTGGAAAAAGACTCTCCCACAGCTCATTGCTACACTAAAACACACACTTGACTCTTTGAGCACCTGGTTCCTCTCCCACGGTCTGAAAGTAAATACTGGTAAGACGGAACTTATGGTTTGTGCTCCCGTCAAAATGGCCGAGGCGTGGTTGCCATATCTATTCGGTTCCACGATGGCGCAGTGCGTGGGGCCCCCACCGTCAGAAACCTCAGCCCAGTGTTTGACAGGCACCTCACCTGGTACTCTCACTCATCTGCCCTCGTCAAAAAGTTGCCAGCGGTATCCTCTCACGTGCGTTGACAGATCCCACGTGATCTGCCTACCCTGGCCAATGTCGTGGTCGTCTCGCACGATCGCCCGCCTTGCCACCTAGGCAACAGGTCAAAGAAAAAATGCTAAATGCCTCCAAAAGACATTAAAGTTTTGCGCTGCGCGTTGTCTCCGATCTCGCAAATTTTATGGCATATCAGACGTGCGTAAGGAGCTGGACTGGCCTACTGCCACTCAGCTTTACTAACGGTACTCCATTAACTGCTTCGCAAAATGCTTGTTGTCGATGAACCGCAAGCTCTTGCCTCCCAGATAAGGGGCAACTCTGCTCTTCGCTTAAGCTCTGCCCGACAGGGCACTGATCTAGCTCTCTCACAGTGAGGACGGAGGTGGGTAGGCGCGCTTCCTCAGTGAGAACGGAGGCGGGTAGGCGCGTCCTCAGTGAGGACGGAGGTGGGTAGGCGCGTCCTCAGTGCCGTACGATTCTGCAACGCTTTGCCTCACTTTGTCACTCGCGTCCTTTGAACTTTTATTTGGAGAGTTAATGACTATATGCGCGTGTTTGTATGTGCGTATTGATATATATATATATATATATATATATATATATATATATATATATATATATATATTATATATATATATATATATATGTGTGTGTGTGTGGTGTGTGTGTGCGTGCATGCGTGCGTGTGTGCGTGCGCGCGTGAGGTATGTTTTTGAGTGTGTGCCTGTGATGTTTTCCACTGCGATCGCTGCCACGAGTGTCCCTTTTGACATACATCTCCGTTTGATCTTATCGACCCGACACTCAAAGCGGTCATTTCGGGCTGGAGGGTGTTCTAGACGTCAATACAATCGTACATGAATACAAGGTGCGGGAGAATGGAAGGATAAGAGAGATAAGGTAATCACTCAACAGGTTTCAGTAGTGACTTGCAATGTGTGGGCAAGTATTGCACGCATGCCGTTTTTTAGCCCGGCTATCTAACATCTTACCTGTTCCTAAACGATAATAGTTTGTGACATTATCGTCTTTTACGAACATCTTAACCATCGCCTTTTACTAAAAACAGCAAAGCAGCACAAAAAACTGCCGTAGCTTCACAACAATAGCACTAACGTAGCGTTTATGCTATCCGCGTTTCGCATCACTGACGTGACCGTCCTGCCACGTTATCAGGACACTGTCACGAGGCACCACCCGTACCAGAAGTAGTGGCTCAGTCTGTGGCATGTTGTCATCTGTGACCAGGCTCGCCCGAGGTCATACCTTGGGCCTGTGCCCTGACCTGACCTGGGACTGAGACCTGGCCTGAGCTGGGACCCTGACCTGACCTGACCTGGGACTCCGACTTTACCTGACTGGTACTCTGACCCGGCCTGACCTGAGACTCTGACCTGACCTGACCTGGGATGTGCCCCGCAGGACGGCGGCGCCCACCGCGTGCACGCCGGCGGGCCGGGTCTCGAACGGGGCGAGCAGGGCATGCCCAGCGAGTTCAACGTGTGGACGCGCGAGGCCGGCACCGGCTCGCTGGCCATCAGCGTCGAAGGGACCCAGCAAGGCCGAGGTCGACTTCAAGGACCGCAAGGACGGCTCCTGCTACGTCAGCTACGTCGTCTCCGAGCCCGGTCAGTGCTGACACATTCTAAAGCATATCAGAAAGTGGAAGGGGCTTTCTTGTGATACGGATTCAGCCTATCGAAAACTGTATTTGTGTTGATAGGTAGAATTTGCGGGACATTTTCTTCATTCGTTCAACACCCTCCCCCCGGCCATGAGTTGTTCAGCTGTACCAGCCCAGCAGTTCTTTGACGTGAGTATGACCCTTATCGCGGACAGCAAATATGATCATGTAATCATGATTTCATTGTCGCATCGTGTGTGGTCTATGGTGTCACAGGTAAACACAAAACGCTACATAAAGAAATATGTCAGTTGTTTAGGATTTGCTGGGGCTGAAAAGCTACTTTTAATATCAAAATGACCAATTCACTCAGGAAAAGAAGAAGAAAAACTTTGCGATCTGTCTGACTACAGTAAATCAGAATACCCAAAATGCTGTCACTTTGTCAAATGATTTGTCTCCTTTTTAGGTCGTCAAATTTGCTGTCATATATTGTTTACTTTGTTACTGTACGTAATCTCGTGAATCAAATGCCGGATAAGGAAAATTAGTACCTCTTCACAATTTAACCTTGTCGAATAAGAAAATGTGCGAGAAACGATTGGATTCGTAATGCGCCTGAAGTTGCGGCATCCTTTTCGAATCACTATTTTCACGTACTGTGTGCAAGGTGTTTTTTCATTGCGCTGCCATGCTCCAAAATTTTGACTTTAATTTGGGTCTTAGGGGGGTAAGTGTCACGTGGTGATACTTCCATCAGCGTTTACCCCATGGCGTTACGGCCGCACAAAGCACAATGTTACGACACGTAGAAGTTTGAATATCTCTGGTGTCTGAACTTGGCTGCGTCAGCAGAGGTTTGAATATCTCTGGTGTCTGAACTTGGCTGGCGTCAGCAGAGGTTTGAATATCTCCGATGTTTGAGGTTGTTTTCGCGTCATGAAACTTGCTCTTGGGGCCAAAAGTTTCTGCTTCTTCGAGGAGAAATCAGACGCCGCGGGCAGCCGGCCGCACGGAACTGGCGGGCGCACAGGCGCCCAGGCAGCGCGGGCAGCCGGCGCATCAGCCTTCTTCAGTAGGTCTCAGCGATATGAGCATAATTTGTGCTATCGCTATTCCGTTTTGAATACGAACGACAGCCGATCACGAACGAGCACCGTTTCGCCGGCGGCATGGGCCTATTGGCGAGACCTGTTTACAGAGAAAACACATGACTTCCGCAGCCAGGAGGTGGATATACACTGGACCATTTTGGCAGCTGCTTACTCGTGGGCTATTTCCTATGCTGGCGTGGGCGGTGGACGGCCAGTTACCTGAACATCCGTCAGCTAATTGTACCGATGTCTTCTGTGGGCGGATGGGCAAGACTTACGGGACCGTTGCGCTGGCATTGTCATAAGTAATGATAGCGTTCGCTGCCAGCCATCGCGGCAGTCAGGCGTGGTTGTCGAACGCTGAATGAACGCCGCACCTTCAGCATTCTCAGAGGTGTGTAGGGAGAGGCTCCGTGCCCGCCGCCGTCAGTGGTCGGTGCCTGGCGCGGCCGCCGTGGGCGGGTGACTCATCTCTTGGCTCGGCTCACAGCGATCCCTCGGGTCGACAGTGAAGCCCTCCGACCCCGCCAAGGCACACCGACGCAGCGCTGTGGAACCGTCCCGAGGCACGGGTTGTGGTGGGGGGTAGAGAGCTCCATGTCCGTCCAGGGGACCCATGAAAGAAAGGTTAGAACCTGACACGATTATCACGACGGAAAGGGAACGTTCAGCAGAACAGAAGATAACAAATAACTCGGAAACTGCTGCCATGGGTGTTTGCATATTCAATTCAACACTTGTTTTGGTAGCTCTAATCCTTTTTCATTTGGAGTGATGAAACTATTTAAATGGCAATACCCTCACATAAACGTTGAACCATCGGACCTCGACGATAGGTGCGAGCTGATGTAATGGTTAGCATATTGCTTTCTGCCGGCGGTTTCTAAAATCTGAAATTCGGGTGGTAGTCACGTGCTTATATATATATATATATATATATATATATATATATGCATAAATAAAGTCGTAAAGGGATATGCTTTCAATGTCAGCAGACTTGCGAATACCTACAGCTGGTCTCATAATTTTTAAATGTGCCCAGTTCCACGTCATTTCAATTCCCCAACTACCCGGGAGGTTTCCTACATGTCGGCGAAGGTTGACCGCTCAGAGCGCAGGTGGTCCTGTGTCACGGACGGATGGAGTCCGCGCCGCACTGACGGACCGCGCCGATGACTGCTGACCCCCCCCCCCTTGCCACAGTGTGAGTACCGAGTCGGCATCAAGTTCAATGACTCACACATCCCCGATTCGCCGTTACAAGGTGTTCGTGACTCCGGCCAACAAGGACGCACACAAGGTCACCGTGGGTCAGCTGCCCGACGCCGGGGTCCAGGTCAGCAGTGGGCGGGGTCCGATGGCGAGCTGGGTTGGGTCGCCGTCGAACGCTGCGCTGTACCGATTCAGCCAGTGGACGGCATTTGACGCGCCTTTTCGTCCTACCGAGGATTTCGGGCCTCATCCCGCACAGCGCGCTCAGTCGCCCTGTTACCAGAAGCCGCATTGTACAGCGAGCTCACTTGTTTCTGCCCGATGGGGAGGGATCTGCCGAGTATTGGATCCCCGTCTGGCTGTCCCAGAACAGCCTGAACTGTGTAATTGAGACCAGCGGCCTCGTCGCGGTCTCGTCCCGCACCCCGGTCCGACTGTGCTTCGCTCGGCCGGCAGGTGGACAAGCCCATCATCTTCACGGTGGACCGCACCGACTGCAAGGGGCCAGCTGGACTGCAAGGTGGTCTCTCCCAGCGGGCACGAGGACGACTGCTTCGCCCAGTACCTGGACGAGGGAACACCTACTCGGTCCGCTTCTTGGCCCAAGGAGAACGGATCCACCAGGTGAGGCGTCGCTGCCCCTGCGAGCCGTAGTTCCAAACCGCGGGATAACAGTTTGGAGGTCGCAGTTTATGAAGGAGTAACAGTTCTCGCGGGTGCCACTGCCCCCTACGCCGACGTTGCACCCGGGTCCATAGCTGTTACCCTTCCTACACTGCTGACGTCACATCCCGAAGGGATCTTCCGCTCCTGAAACACTTTTCAACGAGATGCGATCGGGGTGGAGTGGAACGACATTTGAAGTTTCACCCCTGACACTCCTATTGGCATAACTCGCGTCATGCCGCGGATATGCATGTCCAGGCTACGGGCGCCGTCACCGCCATCCCAAAGCCACATCAGGGCAGCCCGTTCAGCCCCGTCCTGTTTCCGCAGCTGCACGTCAAGTGGAACAACGTGCACGTGCCGGGCTCGCCCGTTCCGGCTGAAGATCGGCAAGCAGGACGCTGACCCGGCGGCCGTGCACGCGCACGGCAAGGGCCTGGAGAAAGGCCACACCGGGCACAAGTCCGACTTCATCGTGGACACGTGCAACGGCCGGCGCCGGCACGCTGGGAGTCACCATCGAACGGACCCTCCAAGGTAGGCCACCGCCGCTGCATCAGACTGGGTTCTGGCTAGCGCCTCCGCGGCTGGAGTGTCGGCGCTGGGTGTCACCATTGACGAACCCTCCAAGGTAGGCACGCCGCTGCGTGAGAAGGGTCTGGTCAGCACTTACGCGGCTGGAGTGTCGGCGCTGGGTGCCACCATTGACGGACCCTCCAAGGTATGCACGCCGCTGCGCGAGACCGGGTCCGGCCAGCGCCTTCACGGCTGGGGTGTCGGCGCTGGGTGTCACCATCGATGGACCCTCCAAGGTAGGCACGCCGCTGCGTCAGAAGGGGTCTGGTCAGCACTTACGCGGCTGGAGTGTCGGCGCTGGGTGTCACCATCGACGGACCCTCCAAGGTAGGCACGCCGCTGCGTCAGAAGGGGTCTGGGCAGCACTTACACGCGGCTTGAGTGTCGGCACTAGGGTGTCACCATTGACAGACCCTCCAAGGCAAGCCCACTGCTGCGTCAGAACAAGTGTTATGGCCGGCGCCTCCGCGGCTGGAGTGCCGCCGTTGACAGAGCTACTCGGGTCGTGATGAGTGATACAGCTGGGCGGGTCGTAGCTGGGCTGTTCATGGGTCAGGTGTACAAAAAGGGGAGGTCATGCTAGTTGTTACATAGGAAGGTCACTTGTGTTCATGTCGTCCAATCCAAGCGTCGGATTACGCTAACGCCGTCGTGCATTGCAAAATCCCCTGATAAGTGGCCTCCCCAGTTTTAGGTTCATGTTTTAGGTTCAGTTTTAGGTTTATGAATTGTTGTGGTTCAAAACATGTTCTTGCGCCCTCAGATCTATTCTCACTCAAGTGAGTTTGTAATTTTCATAATTTCAAGTTATTGAAACGTAGGATACCTCGCAGAAAGCTCCTGCTATTCATTTACCTTTGGTTTAGCGCATCAAATACCTACCACCACAGTTTCAGCTGATAATTGTCACCGATCTAAGACACGGCGGCGGCCACTGGCTCGCAGTTTGATCACCTGAACGCCAGTTACATGCAGTGCAGTGAGCAGCGCTCTTCGTCCGCCGCCAGTCACCTTCTCTCTCTCTCTCTCTCTCTCCTCTCTCTCTCTCTCTCTCTCTCTCCTCTCTCCCTCTCTCTTCTCTCTCTCTTCTCCTCTCTCTCTCTCTCTCTCTCTCTCTCTCCTCGCCTCTCTCTCTCTCTCCTCGTCTCTCTCTCTCTCTCTTCTCTCGGTCTCCTCCCCTCCTCCCTCTCTCTCTCTCCCTCTCTCTCTCTTCCTCTCTCCCTCTCTCTCTCTCTCTCTTTCTCTCTTTCTCACGTTCCGTGCCTTATCGCTCACACAACGCGCGCTCTGGCCAACCAACCTGGCGGACAGCGGCCTGGTCAATCTGACACCGCCCCCCTGGCCCGCGTGACACCGATCTGACCCGTGTGCTGACACTTGCTTCTGACCGCCAGTGTCGATGGATTGTCGGAGGTGGACCAGCACAAGGTGCGTTACACGCCCGCTCAGTCCTGGCCACTATTACGTCGCCATCAAGTACGA